AACACAGCAGAACTGGGAGCGAGCCGCCGACATTATGCAAATGAAAGAGTTTGCAGAATAAATGGAATGTATTATGCGACGCGTAACCTCAGGGCCAAGCCGCTACATCCATGCTCTTTCCCTGTGAAAATGGAAAGCATGTTTGCTCAGGTATGGGTCATCAGCGTCAGCCAGCTCTAGCTCCATCCCCACTGGTCGCCTTTGGGAAACTTTTCATCGCAAAAGCCAAAGTAATCACATGGAGTATAGAAAATACCGCCCTAGTCCCAGAACTCTATTATGTCGGACTCATTACCTGTGAAATAATTGAAGCGAAAGAAAGCAGCAACACAGAGAAAAACTGCATTCTGACGAGATGTTTGCCTTGTAATGGGTTTTCTGATTTTCCGAAAGCCTTGAAGTTAGCGTGCGAGCGGCGTGCCTGGGTCAGCAGAGAGTCTGACAATTATTACAGACGGGATTGAAAAGTTGAGGCGTTTTCGGGTAGATGTAAAGAATCCTGTTGCGTCGTTTGAAAAGAGCCGAGCATCGTCTGTTTCTTCAAAGACTTGGAGGAAAAAAAGAAAGAGAAAAAAGTTTTGTATTGGTTCGTGAAGCAGCACATTTTATATTGGATAAAATCTGGGGTAGCTAACTTTCAAACCACAAAAAAATGCTCAAGAATCTCAGTGTGACATTTACCAAATGGTAAAACAGTTTGATTCAGTTCAATTCAGTTAAATTAATTCTTGTATAGTCCTAAATCACAACAGTAGTCATCACAGAGTACTTTACTAAGCTGTTGATTTGCCAACACAGATCAGAAAATCAAACATACAGGAATTGCAATGATTTAAAAAGCATTGGTCCATAAGGGATAGAGACCAATGTCCATAGAAGTCCACTAGTTCGATCACTACATTTTGCAAGCACATGTTTTAGACTTGCAAAAAGTGTTATTCCTTGATTGTTCATTTGTACATGTTTTTTATGGTAGGGAACACCGGAGCATCTGGAGGAAACTGTTATGTTGAGGTGCTCCATGCTGATGCAGAAGGGTCTAAGGACAGTGGTGATGATCCAGGACTCAACGACATTCATGAAACTTATACAAATGTATGGACATTGGTTATCTTCCAAACTACTGTAGCCACTGCTGCCCTGGGGCACACTGACAGAAGCGAGGCAACCAGTCTGTGCCATCAAGCCCTCTGATCACCACCATCCTCTCACATACAGACAACAGACTTATGGGTGAAGTGTCTTGCCTAAGGACATGACAGCAGTTCGGCACTTTACACCCGCAGCCGTCCCACTGTGGCACCTGGTGTTCCCATGGCTCTCCCATCACAGTACTAACCAGAGCCTGCCCTGCTTAGCTTCAGGGGTCTGACGGGTTCTGGCTCTTACCTGCCGGTCTGGCCCCTTTTGTCATTATGGAAAGTATCTTGGGTGATATCTTTTCACAAACCTTAATAATGACATAATTTGCAGTCTCATTCTCGGCTCATTTGACACACATGTATTTTGTTTAAATATTCTTGCATTCACACAATCACATCCATATCTCTCATTCTGCCTGAGCAGCAGGAGGAAGCGTCAGGGGAGGGGGGGAAGGGGAATGGTCTTGGACAGCCCTAACAAAAGACCCAATACAATATAAAGCACTTATTGAAACACATCATGCGTTGGATTGGCGTCATTAAAACAGACCTTTCTCAGTCACTTGTAATTCTCTCCGGACAAAAGAGTTTCGCTCACCTCCAAACACGTTCCATTTCAGAGCCGCCTTCCATTCTCCAATACTGTGTCTGTTCAGGCCTGGCATTTTGGAACGCTCGTTCAATTGATTTGGCTCGGACAAATCCTCGGCTCCGGGCAGGTAACGAGTCGTATTGGTCCAATTTAAATGCACTCCCTCCAGGTTCAGAACCAAAACCATATTCAGCCTTTGTGATATTTGGAGCACGTGGACCTATTTGCTTTTGATGGTGTCCCAGTTTAACTTTACAACGCGTGTGTGTGTGTTTGTGTGTGTGTGTGTGTGTGTGTGGTTGTACTGCCTGGACTGTGAAATGCCCCATAGAGAAGACAGTGTAATGTGAATGTAATTTTGAAATGACATTGGATTCTCTGTTAAACTCATCCGGTGAAAATAACAAGAGACACATTTAACCGTGTTTTATTAGTGAATCAAGTATGAGCAGACAATGGGACCCCTGAACCCAGCCTCCTCCCTCTGCACCTGTGGACTGTCTTCCCCAGCCTGGACTCGAGTCGTACATCGCGTGGCCGTGGTCCTCTTTCTACAGCCTGAGTCCTGGATCTACAGCCTCCTTCAATCTGGGCCTCCCTGAGATTTCTCACCTTTCTCCCACTGGGGTTTTAAGAGTTGTTTCTTGCCGTTTGAGGAGAGTCTAAGGACAGCAGTGATGATTCAGGACACTCAATACATTATAATAACATTTACGGACATGGGTCTCGGCCCAATGGTGCTATGTGACTTGGGTGGCAGTTGACCGAGAAATGAATTAAGGGGTAGAAAATGGATGGATGGATGGTCTTGGCCCCTTATGGACCAAAGGCTATATGTGTTTTTGTCGCTTTGTAAAGTCCTCTGAGATAACTACTGGTGTGATTTAGGGCTACACAAAAATACATTGATTTGAAATTAAATTACATAAATATTCAAGTCTGCATTCAAAAAAACAGAAATATGGAGGAAAACAAATGGAAATAAAAATATGAAATGGGAAATCAAACTAAAATCAAGCCAAGGAGTAAGTACCAAGGAGGATTTACTTACGACCTGGCACATGGTGGAGGGTGAAGCAGGTCTTTATACTGCAGGAGGTGAAGATGAGGAGGATAATGAGGCTGCAGGTGTGGAGTGGGTTGAAACAGCAGGACACGCACGCACACACACTCTCAAAATACTCAGATTAGCAAGACAACAAGATTTGTCTTGTTTCCAAAATTATTGGTTTGTTTTCTCATTCCAAGTAAGACATTTCTGTATCTTTTTAAAACAACATCCTTTTTCTTCGTCCCGTTGGAAAATCTTGTTTTAAGTCTAAGTCAGAATGTGCTCATATTAGATAGATAGATAGATAGAGGTGTCCAGTAGCAGCAAAAATAAAATTGTTCATTCTAAAAAGCTAATAATAGTATTAATCAGCCACAGGCCTTCAGGTCACAGCAGCAGAAGTGGAGTAGCCACTGGCCAACACATTTAGACAATTTTGTAAAATGTAAGCAGTTTTTGACTATTTTTCATCACTGTTTGCAGTGTAGGTCCTTTTCCCCCCTGAAAGTTAGAAACCCCAGCTTTAAGTGGAAGAATAAACAGTCTGGGGAGCACTGGATTAGAACGGTTAGGCCTTGACTAAAACCTCCATTGTGTCTGACCTCAACACGCTTACACACTCACAGACGCACACACAAACACACACACATACACACACACACACAGGCGCACACACATAAACACAGAGAAACAGGTCGTTTGGTGTTGCCCCATAAAACTTTACATAAACCCCTATTGTGCCTGACCTCCACATACACACACACACACAGACGCACTCACACACCTACGCACACACACACACTCTGTCATGTGTTTCCCAAACCTGTGGTAACTATAGGCAGTACCAGCTTCTGTACACTCTTTGAAACAGATGCATATTTGGTTCCAACTCTCTCTCACTCACACAACACAACACAACACAACACACAGGCCCAAACACTCTCTGACCCTACACTTTTCTCCCATAACTATCTTTCCTCCTCACATTTCTTCAGCCAGTTTATATAACCCTATTTTTTCATGTAAATCATCTGCTCCAGAGATAGCTCCACACACAGAGATACACGGAGATTCACCGATTTTTCAACTAGTTCTATTTTAGTCTATATTGAAAGAGTCAAGGCTGAAAAACTTGGTGCCTTATCAATGGAAAGAAATGTTGATTATTGAAGTTTATTTTCAGTTTTGAGGTTTTCGTTTTGTGGGTGAGCGTGAAAAATCCTTTGTTTGGCTTAATTTTCCTTTTGTATCTTTTATTATTATTATTTGGTTTATTTGAGAAAGGACAGACACAAAACAACATAGACAACCTGTCATACAGTAGTCTGATTCATCCTTCATGGGGCCTGTAGCCAAAGCTAATTTTTAGAACTTTTCTAAACATGACAGGGAGACAATTGTGCTGCTTGCTTATCCGAGATAATGTTTCTTTTTTGAGCGTGCCAAGTTTTGTCTCTGATTTGAAATGAACAGGTGTGTTGTTCTTGGTTTTTGTTTTGCGTATATGTATGTGTAACTGTCTATCTTGATTGTCATTGTCAACATGCTTCTTGTGTCTGGAAACGCTTCGGGATTTAACAAAGTAGATGGATGTGTCATGGGCGGGTGGATGGGGACGTCATGGAACGCCCGGACATTCCTTGCTGCAGGTAATCAATGGCCACCCTCCTCATTACCATCGAGAAAGAGTTTCCCGGCTCCGAACGCGCTCCCAATTAAACCAAAGTGTAATCATTCACACGGCCAAAACTCAAGCTCCCTTCAATTAATTCAAAACCCCTTTTAATTAAGGTGATAAACATTTAAATTGCTTCTGGGAGATTCGTATTGTGTTTTACTTTGCCTTTCGTCCGGTTTATTTTCCATTGTGCACATTTCTCTCGGTGCGGAGTCTTGTGGGGGTGAAAATTGCCTGCAGCATTGGTGTAATGGAAGCGCGATGATAAACAGTGTGAAGGTATGTGTCCAATTAAACTGTTCTTATTCTTCTGTATCAGCGGTGGTTAAACTTCCCCACATGTTTCTTATATGACGGAAAAAACAACAGGGGAATAGTGGTGATGGCAGACGTGCAGCGAATGCAAATACAATACAAGTACTTTTCAGCTGCTATGAAGGGGACTTTTGACCATTACTACTACTATACTCCTATAATGTTCGTACTGAGTGGTGTTGTGTGTGGGTTAATTAAAGTAAAAAGAACAGTCTTGGATCTTTAGGGCAGCACCGTGGCTGAGTGGACAGCGAGAAGGTCCTGGGTTTGAGTTTCGGTCGGAACAGGGTCTTTCTGAGTGAAGTTTGCAAGTTCTCCCCGTGCCTGCTCCGGTTTCCTCCGAGTTCTCCGGGTTCCTCCGAGTTCTCCGGTTTCCTCCGAGTTCTCCGGTTTCCTCCGAGTTCTCCGGTTTCCTCCGAGTTCTCCGGTTTCCTCCGAGTTCTCCGGTTCGCTCCGAGTTCTCCGAGTTCCTCCGAGTTCTCCGGTTTCCTCCGAGTTCTCCGGTTTCCTCCGAGTTCTCCGGTTCGCTCCGAGTTCTCCGAGTTTTCCGGTTTCCTCCGAGTTCTCCGGGTTCCTCCGGGTTCCTCCGAGTTTTCCGGTTTCCTCCGAGTTCTCCGGGTTCCTCCGAGTTCTCCGGTTTGCTCCGAGTTCTCCTTTTTCCTCCGAGTTCTCCTGTTTCCTCCGAGTTCTCCGGTTTCCCCAGAGTTCTCCGGTTTCCTCCGAGTTCTCCGGTTTCCTCCGAGTTCTCCGGTTTGCTCCGAGTTCTCCTGTTTCCTCCGAGTTCTCCGGTTTCCTCCAAGTTCTCCGGTTTCCTCCGAGTTCTCCTGTTTCCTCCGAGTTCTCCGGTTTCCTCCGAGTTCTCTTGTTTCCTCCGAGTTCTCCGGGTTCCTCCGAGTTCTCCGGTTTCCTCCGAGTTCTCTTTTTTCCTCCGAGTTCTCCGGGTTCCTCCGAGTTCTCCTTTTTCCTCCGAGTTCTCCTGTTTCCTCCGAGTTCTCCGGCTTCCTCCAAGTTCTCCGGGTTCCTCCAAGTTCTCCGGTTTCCTCCGAGTTCTCCGGGTTCCTCCGAGTTCTCCGGGTTCCTCCGAGTTCTCCGGGTTCCTCCGAGTTCTCCGGTTTCCTCCGAGTTCTCCGGTTTCCTCCGAGTTCTCCGGTTTCCTCCGAGTTCTCCGGTTCGCTCCGAGTTCTCCGAGTTCCTCCGAGTTCTCCGGTTTCCTCCGAGTTCTCCGGTTTCCTCCGAGTTCTCCGGTTCGCTCCGAGTTCTCCGAGTTTTCCGGTTTCCTCCGAGTTCTCCGGGTTCCTCCGGGTTCCTCCGAGTTTTCCGGTTTCCTCCGAGTTCTCCGGGTTCCTCCGGGTTCCTCCGAGTTCTCCGGTTTGCTCCGAGTTCTCCGGTTTCCTCCGAGTTCTCCGGTTTCCTCCGAGTTCTCCGGTTTGCTCCGAGTTCTCCTGTTTCCTCCGAGTTCTCCGGTTTCCTCCAAGGTCTCCGGTTTCCTCCGAGTTCTCCTGTTTCCTCCGAGTTCTCCGGTTTCCTCCGAGTTCTCCTGTTTCCTCCGAGTTCTCCGGGTTCCTCCGAGTTCTCCGGTTTCCTCCGAGTTCTCTTTTTTCCTCCGAGTTCTCCGGGTTCCTCCGAGTTCTCCTTTTTCCTCCGAGTTCTCCTGTTTCCTCCGAGTTCTCCGGCTTCCTCCAAGTTCTCCGGGTTCCTCCAAGTTCTCCGGTTTCCTCCGAGTTCTCCTTTTTCCTCCGAGTTCTCCGGGTTCCTCCGAGTTCTCCTTTTTCCTCCGAGTTCTCCTTTTTCCTCCGAGTTTTCCGGTTTCCTCCGAGTTCTCCGGTTTCCTCCGAGTTCTCCAGTTTCCTCCGAGTTTTCCGGTTTCCTCCGAGTTTTCCGGTTTCCTCCGAGTTCTCCGGTTTCCCCTGCCACTAAAAACAAGTAAAACATGTAGGTAAAATCCATCAGCTCTTGTCCTGACTAAACCGAGCATCACAATCTAGAGATGGTTCCTAGGCGCTATTACTATGGCAACCACTGCTCCAGACAGACCCCCTAGTGGCATCAGGGTCAAAGGCAGAGGATGATTTACCCTATGGAGAAAAAACAAAGTGCACCATTACCATAGCCCGTCCATCCATGGGAGCGGATCCCTGCCTCAATGTGGGCGTCCCAGAGGTTTACTTTTCTCCCACTGAGTTCTTAGAGTGGTTTCTTGCAGACACAGGAGGGTCTAAGGACAGTGGTGATGATCCAGGACACTCCACACATTTATGGACATCTATTGACATTTATGGGAATTGGGGAACTGTCCCTTATGGACCAACAGCACTACAGTAAGTGAGCGACACGGTGGCTGAGTGGGTAGAACTCTCGATGGGTTCCCGGGCGCTGTACTACGACGACCACTGCTCCTGACGTAAGACTTAGTGGCATCAGGATGGGTCAAATGCAAAGGGCAAATTTCCCTACGCGGACAATAAAGTGCACATTTACATTTATTCTCAGCAAGAATGTTTATTGAATGTGGTCTGTGAAAGTCACTATATAAATAAAGATTACTTCCCTAAATACTTACTATGAGTTTTTTCTCATTGCATTTCTTGTGTTTTAACCGAATCGACAGCTTTATGAAGGCCTTCGAGACTTACTACTGTTGTGATTTCACAGATGTACTTTGGTGCGAGGCCCTCGCGAGACTTTTGCACAACCAGAGCTTCTTCAAAGTCTTAATTCTGAGCCACAGGAAGCCAGTGCAGAGACCTGAGACCAGGACTATTTCGATGGTACATCCTGGTTCTTGTCACCTCTTTTGATTGGCTGTTGCTCCCTGCACTTGGTCCACACATGAAGCAGTAGGAGCCTGATGTTATTTCTTTTGCATAATCCTCCAAATTGCTTTAATACATCCGGCGTTTTATTCAGAAACGCAGAACAAGTGGGCTCTTTGTTCCAGTGCTTTTAAATCAACAGGGACCAGAGCAATTATAGAGTGGAAGATTAGATGTACACCAGAACAAAATATAGCTGGTGGTAAATCTGCGCCGTACGCTCTCCCCTGTCCCGTCGTAATTATCTCTGGGTCTTTTCCAAATCCTCTTTCCGCCTCTGTGTCCGGTTCTTCATCTCCTGTTGCGTTTCAATTCAATAACATCATTTACCGCACGCTCAAAGATGGCCGTCTATAGAAGGACAGGATGGGAAAGTGTTACGAAACAGCTTGAAATGTTTAAGTCTCTCTGGCTTTTAACACTGCGCGAGATGTGTGGTCCTCTCTTTTATTTATTGTATCGTTTTTATTTATTTTTTTAATTTAAATTGGATAATGGTATTCAATTTTATACATTTTAATTGTTTGACTTTTTCCATTTTTTTTTTTAGCATAAAGCTTGCTATCCTGTATAACTGCCATTGATGTATTTGTCTGAGACTGGTGATTTCTATTAAACTTCCCTCTTTTCTACGGGGATTACAGAAAAACAAACATAGCTAGAAACAAACATATTTTTGCTAATGAAAGTAGACAATCTTCACTCTTTCAGAATCTGGTTTCATATTTCACATAGTCATAGTCCATTATATTCTGTGGGTCTTGAGAATCAGTGAAATCATCAAAAACGGCCGGAAGTCAATGAGTTAAATGTGTTACTTTTATCTCTGCGCAGCACTTTGGAAAATTGTTTTATCAAATGTGCTATATAAATAAAGTGGATTGGATTGGATTACATTGTTGCTGCCAAAATTCTGAAATTTGAAAAAAATAAAGATTATAATATTTTTGTTCATTACCAATTTAAGAAGTCCTTGGTTGGTTCAATGAATTACAATACAAGAGTAATTTTGTGTGGCCTTACCTGCAGATGAAAGAAAGCCCTAAGACCTCTGAGGCTAAGCAGAGCAGAACCTGATTAGTACAGTGATGGGAGACCTCTGGGAACACCAGGTGCCACAGAGGGCGACTGCGGCTGTAAAGTGCCAAACAGCTGCCGTGTCCTGAAGCGAGACACTTCCCCCACATTAGAATGAGTCTGGTGTGTGTGTGAATGGTTGGAGGTGGTGGGAAAGGCTGATGGCACGGACTGTTTGCCTCGCCTCTACCAGTGTGTGCCAGGGCAGCCGTGGTCACACTTGTATCACCGCCGTGAATGAATGTGAAGCGTTGTTGAGAGTCCAAACAAACTTTGTATCAGACCGATAACCATGTATTGATGTTGACATTAGCATTGAACTGCAAAAGTATTTTTTCTCTTGTCGTTCTGTGCGGTCCTGAACATGCAGCTCAGAGTCCGCTGATCCACCCCGGTCCCCGCTCTCCCCCGCTCTCCCCCGCTCTCCCCGCGGGTCGCTCCTCTCTGCTCTGATGCTCATTGTGACCGCGAGTGCATTTCTTTGCTCGCTGTAGCATGTTGCTTCTGTTCTTGGGCGCCGTCCCAAAGCTTTCCGCAGAACGCACCACCAGATGTCCCATAAGTCCCACCCGCCGAACCCACACGGCTATAGAGAACATACAGAAATTAGCATCGTTTGTGTTTGTGTGTGTGTGTGTTTGTGTTTGTGTGTGTTTGTGTGTGTGTGTGTTTGTCTGTGTGTTTGTCTGTGTGTGTGTGTGTGTGTGTGTGAGGGCCAAAACTTAAAACCCGAAGGCCCTTCGTTCCTTTTCCTGTGAAATACATCTACGTTGAATGCCAGGCGCTTTACACACTCCAATAAAATGATAAAAAAAGAGGTAATATTTACTTGAATCTAGTGTTTTTTTTATGGTTTCCTCAAACATTTGGCAGTGACTATATCGACTTGAAGCTTGGAACTAAAATCTACCTCTTTGGGGCATCTCTGTCACATGGAGCTCTTCGCGAAAGTTCACTGTGGTAGACCCGGCCGCTGCCGCCAGATCTACAAGCCTGCTCATCCTCTACTCATTACACCAGCAAAACGCCCACATCTAATCCACCAATAACCACCAGGACAGCAAGTTAAAAGCCGGAGACGCCCACTCCCGGCCTTCTGAAGTTTGCAAAGCCTCCGCCGCCCCACCTCCTCCTTCTCTCATCGAAGCGTGCTTGCCTACTGCCTCTGCCGTCACCAGTGCCTAGGCCCCGGGGGGGATTATGCACGCGAGCAAGCGCCGCACTCAACAGCATCTCTCCCGGGCCTAGGGCGCCAAACATACTCAATCAACAAACTTCTAACTGCATTTTCCCTCTTGGGTCTCTCCAAAGTGAACTGGTTTTAGGCACTTTTACCATCAAACGGTATCTCAACCATTTGGTAAAGGCCTAATATAAAAAGAAAACTAGGGGTTTTGTTATTTATGATTATTTTCTGGCACAAGGGGAGGGGAGTGGGGAAAAGGACAAGAAACCAGAGAGAGAGACTAGACAAAGAGACCAGGGAAAGACCAGAAAGACCAGAGAGAGACCAGAAAGAGATCAGAGAGACACCAGGGGGAAACAAGAGAGGAATCAGAGAGAGAGAGACCAGAGAGAGAGACCAGAGAGAGACCAGAGAGAGACCAGAGAGGGACCAGAGAGAGAGACCAGAGAGAGACCAGAGAGAGACCAGAGAGAGACCAGAGAGGGACCAGAGAGAGAGACCAGAGAGAGACCAGGGAGATACCAAAGAACCACTAGAGAGAGAGCGACCAGAGATAGACTAAAAAAGGACCAGAGAGAGATAGACAAGAGAGAGACCAGTCAGTGAGAGACTAGTCTTGCTCAGGTGTATGTAAAAACAACAAAAAAGATACATTTTGCTAAAATTGAGCAATTTTGGACTTGCTCTGCCTTCCTTGTTGCAGTGCAGTTAGGCCAATTTTACGGGACGCTCCGGCGATCTCGGTAATGGCCGGCTGTGCAGCATTGTGCAGGAGAGGATTGCGAACAAAGCTGAGTGCGGTTTTGGAGAGAGCCGGCAGATGAGGGGGGTCACAGCCAAACAGTGATGTCACAACTGTTCTGGAGAGAAAGGACTGAAGGGGACTTTTGAGCCTCAATACTGAACCGCCTCAGCTCAGAGAGGTGAAAACACACTGCTTTGTTTTTGATTAAAGACGTCTCTGTGCCTGAGAGAGACCAGAGAGAGACTAGGGAGGGACCAGAGAGAGACCAGAGAGATAATCAGAGAGAGACTAAAGAGAGACCAGGGAGATCATCAGAAAGAGACAAGGGAGGTCGTCAGAGAGAAACCAGGGAGAGTCCATAGAGAGACTAGAGAGGGGCAAGGGAGAGACCGGAGGGAGACTAGGTAGAGACCAGGCAGAGACCAAAGAGAGACCAAGTAGATGATCAGAGAGAGACCAGAGAGGAGCGAGGGAGAGATCAGAGAGAGACCAGAGAGAGACTAGAGAGGGGCGAGGGAGAGACCGGAGGGAGACTAGGTAGAGACCAGAAAGAGACCAAAGAGAGTACAAGGAGATGATCAGAGAGAGACAGGAGAGGGACCAGAGAGAGACCAGGGAGAGACCAGAGAGAGACCAGAGAGAGACCCGGCAGAGACCAGGCAGAAACCAGAGAGACCATAGAGAGAGACGAACACAGTAAATGTCCTTAGAATGTTAGATGTTCTTGATGTGAGAATGGATGGATCTGAAATCGACTCCGGGTCTGTTGGAGAAGATGTCTGCTCTCTGTTACTTGTTTGTCAGTGTGTCTCTGGGTAAAAGCCCGGAGCCTTTAAAACGCTGATGCCAAACTGTCGGAGTGTAAGTGGCAGAGGTGTGAGCTGCAAACGCACAAACCCTTTTATGCATTTGGCAAACTACGCGGAAAACTTTTTAGGCTAAATACTTTGTCACCGCGACGAGAAGGAGGTCGCTGGTAATGCATTGTTTTCAGATGAAATGGACTTTTGCCATTCTTCTTGAGCAGTGACAACTGTGCACGGTGATTCTGCGAAACCAAGATAAATGGGTGGATGTATTGCGAATACAGAGGAGGTAAGTATAGCCCTGTTTCCACCAGCCCTATACTCTACTCTACTCTACTCTACTCTTATAATAACAGGGCCAAGACGGGCTGGTGGAAACGGGGCGTTAGCAAGTAAGTCATCTTTATTCATAGGCACCTACTGTATATACTGTAGTTAGGTATTATTTATTGTCTTGTGGACATGACAACACACAACATATTATAATTTTATTTAAATAATTACACATATGAAAATAAGTAGAAAGAAAGAAGAGTTGTATTTTGCCTGCTTATTTCTTAATCATATAATAAACAATCCTAAAGACGGACTGGATGGACGGAGAGAGACCAGAGAGATACCAGAGAGATACCAGGGAGAGACCAGGGCGAGACAAGAGAGAGACCAGAGAGGGACCAGAGAGAAACCGGGGGAGACAAGAGAGACAAGAAAAAGACCATAGAGAGACCAGAGAGGGACCAGAGAGAGACCAGAGAGAGACCAGAGAGAGACTAGAGAGAGAGGCCAGAGAGAGACCAGAGAGAGACCAGAGAGAGACTAGAGAGAGAGACCAGAGAGAGAGCAGAGAGAAACCAGAGAGGGACCAGGGGGAGACAAGAGAGAAAAGAAAGAAACCAGAGAGAGACCAGAGAGGGACCAGAGAAGGACCAGAGAGAGACCAGAGGGAGACGAGAGAGAGACCAGAGAGAGACTAGAGAGAGAGACCAGAGAGAGACCAGAGAGAGACCAGAGAGGCACCAGAGGGAGACTGACAAGAGATCAGACAGAGAGACCAGCCTTTTGAAATCCATTTTTGTAAATCCAAGCTTTAGTGCAAATAACCCCATGAAGCACAGGCCATGTATTTAAAACGGCCTGTGCTTCTTTGAACCTCAGGGTGTGGTATACAAGCAAGGTGCAGGAAATGTCCAATGGAAGCCCCCTCACTCACTGCCTCACTCTCACTCCACACATTCTTCACTGGAGAGGCCTCAACATTCCTCTTTTGAATGTATTTGTTTTGATTTGTGATATATTTTTTCAAAGTACCGTTCTGCTGCTCGGAGAAAGGAGCCAACACTGGCACATTTGTTGCATTTCTTTGAGCTTCACTTTATCGTCTGTTCAGAGCAGTTCTGAACGTGACATCACAGGATCAGTTGTGCGGTAAATACTCGGACTCAAGTCGGAAACAGAGCTGTATTGAAGTTCTATTCTTCTACTTGGAAAAATGGATATTCAACTGGAATGAAACTGGGGCTGGATGTTGGCACGTGTGTGTGTCTGTGAGTGTGTGTCTCTGTCTTTGTGTGTGTGTCTCTGAGCATGTGTCTTTGTGTATGTGAGTCTATGAGTGTGTGTGTGTGTGTTTGTGTGAGTGTGTCTATGTCTGTGTGTGGGAGTGTCTGTATGTGTGTGCGTGTGTGTCTGTGTCTATGTGTGTCTGTCTGTTTTTTGGTGAGTTGGAAGATAATGCAGGTATATCTGAGTTTCTGAGATTGTATAAAAGCGGTAAAAAGCCATGGTTGCCAGAAAATCAGTGACACTTTATCGGTAATTAAGCTTTTTGTCTTTTTAGTTTTCAGATTGGTCAAAACATCTTCTTCTTCTTTGAATATAGTTTTGGTCTTTAAACATTTTATTGTCCTTTCTGTCGTCTTGCCCTTAGACATTGTTCTAACTCTCAAATACTTGACGTTTCACAAATGACGTTGACCGTTACCATCACCACGGTTACCAAAGCATTCCAATTTGAGATTTTACCGAGAGGAATCCGGCGCTAATGATGCAGCCTCAGTTTACAGTCGTACATTCCGTTCTCAAGGATCAAATAAAAGTAATGAGAAGGAGGTGAGGTCAGGATTTGAGATTTTAACACATTTCTCATTTTCTATTGCATGGGACAGAGAATTTGGACTGCGCTCACTAAGGAGGAAGATACAGATATAAGGGAGGATCAAAAATGACTTAAAGTAGGGGAAATGTTTTAAAATTTAAAGCTGGGTTACCTAACATTTGCCCTGATTGAGAGAATGTTTTGTTTGCTACTGAGAGTCTGGGACAATGTCAAAAAGGGACAAAATCATTCAGCAATGCGGCATCTATGCACTAATAAAAGTTATACGGATTCATTAACAATAACTTTTTGACGAGCCTTCATACACATGGCCAAAGTGGTTTTCTCTTGGTTTCCCTCAAGCTTTCGTTAGAGAGCGATCTTTCTCTTTCATTCTCCATAGGCAGCAAAACAACCCAATTCACTTTGTGACGTCACTCAATCAATTGACTTTATTTACAAACCGCTGCTTTACAGTTTGGTTAAAAACAATCCCACATGCCCATGACCCCCCAACCTGACCACCCACCCCAAAACCACTGTGAAAGGATACAGGGCTGGGTACAGATGTGACCGGCTGAAGAAGCACCATTCAAGGAGCTCGACCTGGCAAGCTGGAAAAGCCCCG